AGGAACAACATTTTGGAGTTTTTACATTTTGTGTCACCATACTTGTGTAGATATTACTAGGTATTGTATTTTATATAGTTTGTGTGTTAACTGTCCTCCGAATATTTTCTAGTGTTGCATATTTTGAAGTACTGGCATTCCACTTGAAAAATCATTATGATAATGTAGCAGGTTGTAGAAACTGAAAAACACTTACATCTGAAATTCTAAGAAAGATACTCAATTACCCATTTGTTTTAGCGAGTTTTGGAAACTTCTGTCAATTAGTACGGATTACTGGTTGTGTTTCCTGTAACAAATGTATAAGACGGGTGTAGAAACAACTACAAATGGGGAATGTCACAAAAATTCTCGTCATAAGGAAAAAAGTTTTCAAAAAGTTGTGTTGTGTACACAGAAAATTCTGTATGCAGTGCACTTGCATCCTGTGGATTGATTCAGAGTCTTCTATAAAGCAAATGTCTATAGTGGCACATTGGTTCAAATTAAGATCAGCAGAAAGATTGGATGCTCCAGGTATAGGAATTTCATGTAAATTCAGCTAGCTTTAGAAATTGTCAAAATATGGGGAGTGTGGTCCAGTGGTTGGGGTTCGTGACTCGTGATCAGAGGGTCAGGGGTTCGAATCCAGCTGCTGGTCATATGTTGTATCCTTGGGCAAGCCACTTCACCCCCACTTGCCTCTCTCCACCCAGGAGTATAGCTGGGGAGTAAACTGCGATGGACTAGCATCCCATCCAGGGGGAGTAGAAATATTCTCGGTGTTTCATGCTACTGAAACCAGAGATACTGTAAACACCGGCCTGATGGGCCACATTGGCTTGTGACAGACTTTACGACTACTACTTTGAAATTGTCAACCTCAATAGCTCTTGGTTTCAGACAGACCACTTTACGTTTTTACCTTGATCATTGACGAGAGTGATGTCTAAAGTCAAGATGCTCTTGAGTTGTTCCAAATGATTCTGACGGTTTATATTTTGTGATAGGTGCTCCCACTTTTTTGTGGAAGATAGAATTTACGTCGACATGTAAATTTTATACTGGGTTTAGCCCTTCACCGACATATTTCATAAAAACTCAGGGCTTGCGAGAAAAAATCACATGCTTACTTGGGTAGGACTCGAACCCACAACCTCCTGCTTTATACTAGCGCAGACGTCTTTACCACTCCACCACCGAGCTTGTCGGTAATACTGTCCGCTTGTGCACAACATTCGGACTGAGCCAGCTGGGGTACAGAGGTAATTTGTACACTATTCTGTAATATAGTGTTCATGATTGTCGGATTTGAACACTCCCCCCCCCCCCCCCCGCCAAAAATTCCTGGATCTGCCTCTGTATGGGGTTCGGGTTAATACAACACCTTTGTGCAACCATCATCATAGATTAAGGTATATAACCCTGTGCCCTGGCCTACACCGCATTATGAGGAATTTTTTTTTTATTGTTAGCCTTAGGCAAATTAGAACCAAGTTATGGGGATGTTCTGCTGTCCCCACAGCATTTTCGGTCCCCACAAATAGCTCGTACAGAAGAGTGTATGTCCCCACAACTACGGAACAAGACTGTCTGAGCATGGCAGTGTCTGGCATTAAACATTAATGAGGCAGGCATGCTGATTCATCATGTTGGCTTCGTGTTGATCAGTATTCACGTCTGGCAAAAATGCGAAAGGTAAATGAGAGGGTAGATTGATTACGAGTTTAACCTTTAGGATAATGACAAGGAATCAAAACAGGAGCCGGAAGGCGCTCAAATTCCTGGGAAGATTCAGTAATGGCAAATGAACTAAATTATAGATGCAGATGTCATTATTTGGAAGACTGAAAGTTGCATTTGTGATGTATGTGCACAGTCGTTAAAAATAGTTGAGTTTGTAGAAGTGACACTTTGGGGTCAGCATAGCCTGAGGGAAGGGGGGTGGGGAGGGGGGTGGGTGAGGGGCTAGTTAGAGTGTCTCAAGTAATCAACTAGTAGAGGAAGAGATAGAAGGATGCATGAGATCAAGGGGAAAACCAGTATAGCTTGTAGCTGCAGCTTTATCACCCTTGGAATATACAACACTGATTTGCTTTTGCTGTAATTTTCAGAAATGGATGGATTTGGGGGGTTAATATGTTATAGCAAATCTTGTTACACTGACTACTTTGAGGTATTGGGTTCGTAGATGTTGAAAAAAAAACCAGAAAAAAAAACAATCTTTTTTGTAGTCTGGTTCCCTGACCCCACTTCAGATGAAACGGGCAATTATAGATGCCGAGAATTGTAATGTCAGGGAATCAGTCTAGCTGGCTTATACCCATTCATAGGTACTAACTAAATATGATAAATTGGGAGCAGTATTTGAAAAAGCCAGTTTTTTTCCCCCAACGCTGGTCAGCCGACCAGCGTTGGAAATTGATACAAAAATACCACTTTTCTTGAACTTGTCAGCACACCAGGTGCCATGATTTTACAAGATGCTTTAGACTGTCATTCACTGAAAGTCCGGTAAGGTATTTCGTGATAATTTGGTAGTTTTGTTTTTTAATGTTTGCAAATGCTGTATATTCTCCTTATATTAGAGAAGATGGACAATATCTTGTTAATAATATTTGGGAACTGATTTTTTTTCCATTTGAATTTTTATGTTTGACTGTTGTTTTAGAGTTTGTAAGAAAGATGTAACAAATTTGGTTTTTCCATTTGAATTGCTGTGTTTGACTGCTGCAGAGTTTGTAAGAAAGATTTTAAAAAATTTAGTATGTTGATTTGTGATCCTATTGAGCTAAAGACGGAACCGGGCACGTGATCACTGTACAGTCATGGGGCCCCCTTCAATGGAGACACCATTGTGCACGCTATTGTCTAAATATCAATTCTATCACAAAGGCCCCCTTCAATGGGGAACGCACCGTGCTAACTTTTGTTCAGAGAATCCATCATGAGGCAATGGCTTTATACACACTAGCGTGCTAAAAAAAATTGAAAATTGAAATTCATTATCAATTAAAATTTTGTTGTTGATTGTATTGAATAACAGTCAAATTTTTTAAGATCAAAAATTGGGTTGAATGGGTGGGTCAAAAATAATTTTTGGGGGAAAAAAAAAAAAAAAAAATTATCAAAATTTTTTAACATTGATACGTGTAGTTTTGAATGGCTCTTTAAGATATTTTTTGACAGATAAATATCATATTTAAAAAAAAAATTCAATGCTTAAGCCCCATGGTTTAAAACGGTCTTTTCTGAATTGAAGGAATGCAACACAAATCTACTCTGATTCCTATCTCCAGAGGTGGTCAGTTTGGCCGTGTAACACTACTCCCTAGTCCCATTACTATCCCAGATGGACACCCGTTGGTGCACACCAGGACCCATCTGTTAATCCCAATAAAAAAAACTGGACAAATTTAAGTGTCAGAATTCTTTAATAAATAATTGATACGATGAATGTCACTGACACTGAGAGAAAGTGACTTAAATACATGTAAGTGACGTACATGTCCAAAGTGGGCCAAAATAGGGTATTTTTATGCATTGCAGAATTGTTTATTACTGAAAAGTGGCATTTAATTAAGCATAATATATTGTGAGGTGTTCTGCCAAAATGAGGCAGAACTGGGCAGGAGGGTTTGCGGGTATTAATATGAAGGAGAATAAAATTCTCCTTACAATACTGTTTGTTGCACTTCAATTGGACATTCCGTTGACATGTTATGACTGTTTAAATTTCGTATATCGACTGTGCGTCAAAAAAGGTAAAATACTGAGAAAAAGGGCCTTTGACTTCTGACTGTTTTGTAGTCTTGGAAATAAAAAAAAAACCAGTTGTTTTTCCTTAAAAACACTTTTATACCACAGTTTTATACTATTTCTTTGAAATATATGTGTAGTAGACATATCAAAGATTATCAATAAAATATCCATAAATCTGAAAATATGGGGGAAAATTGTTTTTGGCATTTTTCTCCACTACGACCTGTTTTGCCAGAAATGCCCCACAATTGGGTAAAACTGTAACCATGCAGGAAAATGGTAGTGAATGGAGGTTTGGTTTAGTATCCACGATTCCATCATTTGCAGGGTCTAGATTATCATGGATGGCACATGTCTTTTGCCCATGCTGCTTGTGCTTGTCGCTGTGCGATATGGTATTGTGATTTTAATTCCACTGAGATCAACTATGAAATTTTGTTGTTCAGCCTACTCATATTATAGACTGACATGTAATGAGTGTTTGTCATGCAATAATTGCATAAAATTGATTCAAAGGGCTCTCTGAATAGCCACAGAAATGATTTGCCAGGCTTCTTTCTCCCCATTGAAAAATAGATAACGTGATGATTTCTTAAGAAAACGAAAGTGCCAGCACATCACAGGAAGGGGGGGGGGGGGTTGCTTTTCTATTAAAGCCACGATAATTGTTGTTGTAGGAAAAATCGAAATCGTGTTTGCAAAATCGTGTGCTTATTTGCAAGTATGCTGTCAGTGAAGCGCGCCACCTATTGAGCTGTGTTCAAAATCGTCCACTTTGAACAGCACCCCCGATTGTCAGATTGTGTCCAGGCCTTGCACGATTCCCCCCCCCCCAACACACACACACACCCCCACACACACCCACACTTTTTGACTGCGGCCTTTAACCATTCTGCCCCCCCCCCCCCCCCCCAGCCCCTGAACCAAAACCTGGATAAGCTGCTGGTACATGTCTAACCTTCACATAGGCCTGGTTCAAGTCGCTCCTCAGCAATGGCTCCAAATTGTCATTTGCCAGATTAGTGCCTTAACCGGTGATTCTGTGTCATTAAATTGTGTTCATAGTTTAGCTGTTAATGGCAGTGCGCTCGCTTCTAACGAAAGAACAATTTGTCTGATGAGTGGTCGTCCTTTCCGTGCCACTGCAAAATACAAATGATGGCATGGTTTGTACATCAGCAGTAAGGGAAGTTACGGTACATGCATCCTGCATTGCGCTAATTAACGTAAACAACTTGTTTTGTCCTGTTTTCATTTAGAATGAGAGCCCATCTGCTGCTGCCGAGACCAAGTCAGAGGAGCCTGCCCCGGCCTCCACTCCAGGCGAGACTAAAGAAAGCACCGAGAGCAGTAAAGAAGCTGCCGCTGGAGAACCCACATCAGCAGCTGGGGAAGAGTCTAGACAAACAGACGAACAGAAGGTATAGTTTTTGCTTGTCGAGACTCTAGACAGAAAGAAACATTGTAAAATACACAGGGTTGTTTTGATTAATTGTTAACTGCATATTTTAGATCCTTAGCTATGTGTTGTTTGTTTGTTTATTTATTTGTTTTTGGGGGGTTTCTTTGGGGGAGGGGGGCATTGGGATTGGCACATGATAATAATCATTTCCCATTTATGTTTTGCACTGAAAGAAAACCATGTTGCCAGATGGTAATGTGATTGCTGTACATACAGGTCTGACAGATTTTAGGATTTACCTCTCGTATAAAAATTGTGAATTTATTGGGACCACAAATATGTGCACTTCACTGTTCAAGGTGTTGAAGTAGGTCTGCACATGTTGACCTATGCATGAAGCAAGCACTCCATATATGGTCATCTGATAAAACAGGAGAGAGTGATAGATATGTCCTACTTCTCCTCGGAGTGTACAAATATATCATATGTTGCCCATGTACATGTCTGCATGAACATGTAGGTCTCTACATGTTAGATGTACATGTAACTGTGATTCCCATAAATGATTGTCTGTTGCTGGGAAAAGATCAAATGATGACAACACAGATGTTTATAATCTCAGTGTACATACATACCATGTGGTGACCGTGACAGTGTTGAAATTGACGTAGAATCACCAGTAGACATTTGCTGGTGAAATTTTCCTATAGGCCTATATCTGGATACTATCACAGAGCAATGTTTCTCCTGATACTTCCTTCCATGATGTAGTTATAAACCGCCCCCCTTCCCTCCCCCCTCCCCAAAAAAGGGAATCCTACAATTCTTGTTGCACCTACAGTAGACAAAGAAACTGTTGGATCAGTTTCACCGCATTATGTTGTAAACAGAGAATTCAGAACTGTGAACAGAGAATTCAGAATTGTGAATGAATTATTTGGGGCGATCTACGGATTTCACACGGCCATCTGGAAGGCCTGCCTGTAACATTCATGTTATTCGAATACCAAGATGTCACATGATGAATGAGTGGTTGGAATAATGCGGATACTTGGTACCCTGCTGGGGCCTGGTGTCTTTGATTTATCAGCTGGCGTGCTGCGCTGAAACTGTACAGTCCCCATCGCCCTGGCCCCCAGTCTGTGCTAAATGTCACACGCTTTGTTTAGAATTCCCAGTCTGTTTTTGAGCCGTCATCGGCAAGGGGTAGGGGGGAGGGGAATGTGGTTCGGGAAGAATGTTGAAAAGTTGATCAAATTTGTCTGGGAAATTTGGATGAAATGTCATCCATTTTGTTCAGTCACTTTAGTAGTCAGATGAACTACAGTACACAAACCATGGAGCTGCATATGTAGGGCCTACTACTTTCAAACAATTTTGACTGGGGAATGTGTGAAATCTTGTAGCTAAATGGTAGAGTATATCATTTGTCATTTATCCTTTTTTTCGTTTGAAGCAACAAAAGTGCTCAAAATCTAAAGACAGGTGCTTAACAACTAACCTGATGAAATTTTAGCTCAGTGAATGCTAGTATGTTCCGAGAAAACAGTGCTCAAGGATCTCGATTTCAATTCAAAAGCTGCCGAGACATGTTTTGAATTGCACCCGCAATCAGCGTCTGGGACACGTTCTCATTCAGCCGATTGCAGCTACGTGATGTCACGCACTGAACCGACGAATTATAGCAACTGCGTGCACGTGTGCGTCATGTCAAATCTCGCGCACGCCCATTCACGGCTTCGCTGAATAAAAATTGAACTACTAGTGGAAATTTCCACACAAAAAAAAAAACGTCTTTAGACGCATCTTTGGAAATGACCTTTTATTGTTTTCTTCATAATGACAGCATGCCAGAAAGAAGAATTTCACAGGGAGTTTAGTGCCATTACTATCTTTAAACCAAGTATGCTTTTCAACAATAATTCCAAATAGCTGCAAATTATATACTCTACCTTTAATTACATGCATGTGCATGTACACATTATATAAAAGATCAGATAACATAAACAATTCATGGCTGTAGTCACTGCACATGAAATATTTTCCATTCAAAGAATTTTTGTACATGGTCACATATGTTCCCAGTTGTACAAGAGAAGTGGCCCTGTGCCAAAACAGACTACGCATGCACATTCTTGAATTTTGGGCGATTAAATTTTGGGCTATATGTTAAACATATTTTTTTGTAAATATAATTAGGCTGACTTATAAGACATTTTAGTCAAAATTCTTATTACCAATTCAAGTCCTCAAAAAGTGATTAATTTGTACATCCCCCAAATTAATTTCAGCCCCTCCCCCAAAAAAGAGAGATGATGGTGTGGACCCGAACCCAATTCCAATTACCAAAACTCACTTGTCTAGAAAGTTAAAGAAAAGGTGTCAGAACATAACAAGTTTCTGAATAATGAGAATTACTATGCACACAGGGAAAAGTCTGAAATTCCATACCAGAAATACCTGATTGAGAGAGGTTGGGTTCGGAAAACAAGATGTCAAGAATGTGCGATTGGCTTTCCCCTGGCTGTGCATGAGAGCAGAGTTGATTGAATCCTGGTCATGTTCTCACATGCCTATTGTAACCTCTTCAAGACCCTATCACAGCTATTTATTTTGCTTCAGAACATTCTGTTGACTTTCCTTTACCTAATGTTTTTTTTGTTTGTTGCTTTTTGTATAATTTTCATTTAAACCCCAACCACATTTTGCAGTCTGAGGCAGAGCCAACCAAATTAGAAACTGTAACTTCAGAGGTGGCCCCTGAACCGGCGGAAAGTAAAGAGGCAGAGGCCCCTGAACCAGCAGAAACCAAAGAAGTGGCCAATGAACAGGCAGACAGTAAAGAGGTGGCCCCTGAACCAGCAGAAAGAAAAGAAGAGCCTGCTGCTACTGAACCAACAGAAACTAAAGAAGAGCCAGCCTCAGAACCAGCAGAAAGTAAAGCGGTGGCCCCTGAACCAGTAGAGAGTAAACAAGAGGAGGTCCCTGCTCAGACACAAGTATTAATGAGCTTAACTAATACATGTACAAGTTTTGTTGAGCATAATAAGATTGACCTATTAACTTGCATAATAAATTACCCCATATATGAATCTAAGTCCCACCCACCCATCCTTGACCCAGTTTGTGATAGAGAGTTGTTTCAAATTCACTAGTGTGCTATTTTCATTCAGCACTTTCAGTTCTTTGCACATCTTACTTTTGAGGACTATTTTCTGTGGAATTAGTATGATTGGGTAGTGTTTGTTCACAACGTTTCTCACTATGAACCAGAAATGTCTGAAACGTTTTTTTCCCCTGGACAAAATTTCTGAAACGTGAATAATGGCGATCATATTTCAGACAGTTGGTCACTGTTTCAAACATTTTATATCTGAAATATAATCCCCTCTTACGTTTCTGACATTTTGAAAGTCTGAAATGAAAACCTGTGAAAACCACCTACGTTTCAGACAATATGTTACCAAGAAACTATGGCCTGTCAGTCATCCGGAAATGTCAGAAACCTAACATGGCCAGTTTCTGGATAGGCGTACGTTTACGTTATTTTGAGGTTTACAGAATATCGGAAACATACCGGTACATGTAAGTGGTTTTTACAAGTTTACATAAAATGTATGAAACGGTGAGCAAATGTCTGAAATATAACTGCCATTGTTCATGTTATTCCAGACGTAGAGTGCGTTCGATTTATACTTCCCCCGCGCTTACTCGTGCAAGCGCGACAGCTTTTGATTTACCTCTCACGTGACTTCTTGCGCTTACTCGAGCCTGGTCCAAGTGACCGACTCACCGAGCCGGTTAGTTGGGTAAGTATCCCATAAGGCCATGCAATAAACATGGCTGCCAACGTGACATCCGGCGGGCGCCTCGGGCTGTGTCCGAAACGGGCTTCCAGAGCTACGGCTATCTATTGTCAGCGCGTCAGCGCGTATTTTCAATGGGCGTGGACCTAGACCTAGCTCTAGACAGTTGGATTCAGATGCAGCCTCAGTGTCATGTCAAAGTTCAACTTTCCAGCTCTTGCACGAAACTTTACCCGAAACCGTTCGTTTATTTATAGCCCCACTGCGCATGTCTGTCATCACGCGAGGAGCCAGGCGTAAGTAAGCTGGGGGAAGTAATCGAACGCACTCATTATGTCCAGAACAAAAGTGTTTCGGATATTTTTGGTTACAATATAGTGTCTGATACTACATGTATCTGATACTACACCCTGAAACTTTTGGCCCTGTGCAATGTACATGTAACTTGTGACTACATGAAACTCAAAAATTGTGGAAAGGACGGTATTTTGAAGACAACACCTCTGTCCATTAAAACATACATGTATTTGCTTGCTAATCTTACTCGTTACAAATCCGCATGCTTCACTTTGTTTGTATTTTGTTTGGCATGATCGCACCACAGGAAGAAAAGCCTGCAGAAGCTGAGGCACAAGAGGTGGTGGCCCCAGAACCAGCAGAAAGTCAAACGCCGCAAGAGGCCCTGAACCAGCACAAGTACACAACATCTTTTGTTAAATTTTAATTTTAATAACCAACCTGCGCTTTGGTTTTTGAAGATTCGTTTTAGTTTTCAAGTTCTTGATTGATTATTTATCCCAATTAAATATGGTGAAGCATTTTTTTTAATGGAACGCCTGGCCATTTTGCATGCCTGCACATTTTGTTGGCTATTAACACAACGCACTTACAATGTAATTTTCCCTCAAGGAAAAACCAGCAGAAACTGAAGTGCAACCTGTAACAGAAGATGTCCAATCAGGAGACAGTAAAAAAGAGGAGGTGGCCCCTGAACAGGCACAAGTACATGCACATTTTTGTTTATTTTTGTGTTACACAGTTGTTTTGACTTTTGTTTACTTTGAAAATAAGCTTAATTTCCTATTTCCTATCTGTTTTTGGCATTCTCAGTAAAGAGTTGTTGATCTTTGGTCTAAAACAATGAGGTACTCTTTTTTACCTGGAATTGTAATTCTTTTTGTTTACTCTGCTGTGAACATGTCTGTTTTGGAACTTCGCTGGAGTGATAGTGCATTTTTGTTTACAATTTGTAGGGAACTCCAAAAGTTATCTACATTCATAAGAAAAGTACATAAAAATAAAAGTGAAACCTAGCTTTACAGCTTTCATATCACAATGAACACATTTTCAAATGTACTTTTTGGAAGTCGTTCGGGATACACCAAGAGAAGTGGCCAATTCTCAACAAAGAGTGCTGAAAGGACCAGACGGGGTTATCTCCACATTTTGGTCAGCCTGCTCTGACCGCTATCAGGAGGATGTCTTTACTCTAGAGAAGGGGTATCATTAGATGGGAGAGGGATCAAGTATGGATCGATAAGATATGACAGGAGGCAGTAAGTGGGGGGGGGGGGGGGGGGGGGGGGGGGGGGGGGGGGGGGGGGGGGTGCATCTAGAAGGAACTGTCTCTAGGGTGATGATGCTGGGAGGATGTTAACTAGAGTTGGTGGGCTTTCACCGTGTTATGGGGAAGTTTTTTATTGTTAGGCAAATTAGGACCTAGTTTTGGGGACTTTCTACTGTCCCCACAGCGTCTTCGGTCCCTGTAGTACCATGGGACAACTCTATGTAGTCCACACAACTGCGGAACAAGAATGTGTGTACGTGAACTATATACACCCCACGGACAATGGGAGAACAACAGATTCTTTGTTGTCCTCGAGAGTTCATCTTTTGTTAAAAACGGTCCTCAATCGTGAGTTTGTGTGCTTAGTCTATGGGAGAGTGTTATATTACAGGGACAAAGGGAAACACAAAGCATTGTCCTCGAGAGTATAGTAAAACACGACTGTGTGTATCAGTGTATGTGCATATGAAGACCTTTGGATGCTTTGCTGTCTGGCATTTTTGAAGATCCAGCTGGTTGGCAATTTTGCAGCTTGTTCACTGTCTGCTTCCTGATTGGCTTTACTGCCAAGTGTCTGAACTGTTATTTGACCAGGAAGATAAATTGTAGCTCATTGACAGCACACTGGCTGAGGCTTTCTGTTCCCTGCTACATGTATGTTGACTGTCTAATAGCGGCTTTGTTGGGCTGATGCCAATTTGTTTTGGCTGGCCATATAACTTGGCTGTTTTTGGAACTGGCTCCAGAGATTGTGGCTTTGTTGGTCAGTGCATGAATGACAATTTTTTTCTACAGCCTCGAGTTTTACTAGTACTGCACTTAACCAAAACTGACAAGGAAATAGAGCCATGGATTTTTACATGCTCCCCATGTAGTAAAGATCAAGGCAATGGTACTAGATTTTCAACCATAGTCATTCTCTGACCTCACTGTAGAACAACAAACCAAGACAAGTCTACATGTTGATGAGTCTGTTAAATATTCTATAGTTTGCTTGCTGCTTCTATTTATTTGCACTGTTTTGGAATTTCTGCTTGTTGCTCATGTTTGCACGCAGGCTGAGGAACCCTTGACTATCACTGAGACCCAGGAGGCAGCACCAGAAGAGTCTGCAGAGAGCAAAGGGGAGGCAGCTGCGACCACACAAGTACATATTTAACACCACCCTACTTCTAACCAATGCACTGCTTTCACACTTGAGAAAAAAATCACAGGGTTTGACACTGATGATTAATGGGGTTGCATGTTCACACCGACATCATTTTGATCCCGGTGTCACGGTCTCACTTCTCCGGCATGCTAGCTTCTCCGAGAGGGACAATTCGCTTCTTTGAACACGCATGCGCAATATTGCACTTACATTTTCGCCAACTTTATTTGCGTGCCGAGTTCTTTGGGGCTGTACTGGTGCACGTAAGATCTTAGGATATTTGTATGTATAGGTTACAAGGTACTAGCCATACTTGGGAAAAAAGTGTGAAAGGGATCCACATCTGTCGTTCCAGGCTTGCCTGCTTGTTTTTATGGGTGTTTTTGCATGCAAGCATGCATGAAATTCTTCTATGATGTAAGTGGAATGCATTAACATTTCAAAATAATGCATCTTGACAAATGAAACCAATCGATGTTTCAAGGTTTCGCTGTTAGATTGTGTCTGTCACTCTTGTGTCTTTTGAAGGCAGTTTTTCTGTACTATATGACCATGATATAATAGCCCTAATAAGCAAACAGACATGATTTTCCCCCTCACTATACTAACATAAGTGTAAGTTTTCTAGCTGAACAATATTATGTACAGGTTTTTATTCAGTAGGGACCAAATATACACCAATTTGCCAATGTAAGAAACTTGCATATGCCAAAAAGCACATACCTGAGAAAACGAAATGCGTTTATGTGTACATGCATGGAGAAACATGTAGCTGATGATCACAATAAAGCATGTATACACGCATGCAACTGTGAATTTAGAAAAACAAACGAGGAAATTCCAAACCGTACAAGACCTTGTTCAGTGTTTTTCAATTTGTAATGGCATTCATGAGAAGTGAAAAACGAGGAAATCAGCCGATCCGAGGAAAAGTTGCATGCCTATGTATATAGGCTGTGTGGATTGTTGGAAACAGTGCAGAGGTCGTGATCTGGTACACGGTACCCTGTGGAGACATGTGCACAATAGGGAACGAAAGATAGTATACGTCTCCACAGAGCAATTTCTATAGGAGGAATATGTCTTGACAAGGTTATCACGAAATACATGTAGATATATATGGATTTTACTCAAAAACTGGGAATTTCCAAGGTGTGTTGATGTGTCGCAAATTGAAGTATTTTATGTAACGGATATTGAGTCCAAATTTCATCCCAGGAAATTAATTCTGGTTAAAATAGGAGCATTTTGAAAGTACACTTTTGAAACTCGAAAACTTTAGTACACGAGAACACAGAAATGACAAGGATACAAATTCCAGAGTGCGTGTATGAACTAGACAGACATACACACCCATACAGATGGGTATAGACAGGCTGTTACTCATAGTGTAGCTTGTGAAATGCTCTTTGCCAGAGATGAAGGCAGCAAAGAAAGCGTCATTTGTCTCATGGTCTAATTAGTAACATCAGTCGCATTCCAGCTGCTGGGCAGGTTGGGTCCTGATTGAGGGGGGACCGTTTATATTTCCTTCCCTGTCTTGCTGTCAATAACTGGGTTTGTAAAACATGCACAGCACCCGTCCAGTTGATGATTGAGTTGGCAATGATTGTTGGTATGCGGCTTCAGTATAAGGAAAGACTGGAAGCCAAACTAGGCAACCCTAGTTCAGTTTTGATTTCATCAATGTTTTGGTGATACCAAACTTCATGATAATAATGACGTGGTGCTTATATAGCGCTTTATACCAAAGGTCTCAAAGCACTTCACAATTATTACCACTGTTCATCAGGCCATGAGACCAATTTTGCAGCAGTTGGAGATCAGCGCATTCTGGTCTCTACCTTCACAGGTACCCATTTATACTCCTTGGTGGAGAGAGGCAATTGTAGTATAAAGTGTCTTGCCCAAGAACACAAGCTCCATGTTCCGACAGGGAGGAAGCCTGCATCGTACCTACCTCTCACAGATCATAGACAACCTTAATTCCATCGGCCTCAAGTATGATCAGGCTGTTCGTGCTGCCGAGGATTGGGCTGTATGGCCGAGACGAATCTCAAGCATTAGATAAAACAATTACCGGTAGTCACGTCTAGAGTACGACTCTAGTAGCATCAACTACATGTAGTAATAGTAGCATGTTCCCTGTCAGGGCTCGAACCCATGTACCATGGCACACAAGTCGAATAATGTAATCACTGGACCACAGCGCTCCACAAGATACTGACACTTGTAACATTGATGATTGGAACAAAGGTGAAATAATCTCAGTTTAGCCAAGAGCACATCATAAGGAATTGTCATTACAGTGTCGTATGTAGCTGTACTAATGAGCACATTAACCAACCATGCATCCCGCATGCTTTGCTTAATGGTGATTTGTTTTGCTTGTATTGATTTGTGCTTGACAGTGCTGCTCTGTGTAACATTTTGATTTTTCAGTCGGAGGAGAAACCAGAGGAAGTGCCTCAGCCTGCTTCAGAAGAACCAGTCACTGAACCAGAACTAGCCGAAGAAAAAGTATTCTTTTACTTTCTTTTCCGTTATATTTTTTGTTTTTGTTGGTTTTCAGTTTTAACCATTTTTAAGATTCCGACTCGGGAAAGACAATTCAGGATGTAATTCACTTGATTAACCTTCCTTTTTGTTTGATCAGTCATAGACAGTCAAACGTTCCATCCTGTTCCCTGCCATTCCTTTTACACAGGCTAGTCACCAACAGTCAGATCATATTTCTTGTAGGCACTGTGACTAGTTAAATTCCATCAACAGACAAAAGCACGTGACTGGTAGGCACAGCTAGCTTACCAATCTCCTGCAGTCAAAGCTAGCCAGTCAATCCTGCTTTATCAAGGCAGGGAGCACTCAACTGTTGCAAACAGTCGCTTGCTTTATTTTGACTTCTGGACTGGCCTTGTTGAAATTGCCAGCCAGAGAGGGAGCTCAGGTTTAAGTCAAATAAATTCACCCAATCTATCTGACAACATGGACTCCGTTTACAAGTACCCCCTCAACAGTTAATGCACATGAGCATGAGTGTTTGGTTCTCAACATGCATTGCTTGGCTTTACAGTGAGTTGAAATCCTACACCTTCATTGCTGCTGTAACGTCCAGATATCACATTCATGAGTCATAACTCCATGTTCTGATCATAGCAGCTGACAGATGGTTTTGAAATATGATGTAGCTGATCATGCAGATTGACGGATGTTAAAACGAATGCTATGACTCATCTGACCAGTGCATGGCGTTGGAAATTAATGAAATCGGGAGATGCAATTTCTTGTTTTTTAAAACACAAAGCGCAATTCTGCATTCCATAAATGTAAAGGTGCACAATCACTTACATAATTAGAGCAAGAAACTTCGATTAAAATGTTGTCACAACATTCAGACTGTGTTTTAATACTCCTGGTGTATGTTGCTGGAGTTTTTGTAATGTGAAAGATTTAAATCAACCCGTCACTTTCTTATTTCTGTAGATGTTTTAGCTGAGCAGTTCAACTTGTGCATCACACCATCAAGTTGTGTTCCCTTACTGCAGCCGAGGGGAGATGGTATAAAACAAGTTTACAGTAACATTTCACTGAGATTTTCTCCCGTCTCTTCTCCGACTAAACAGAAAGAGGAGGCTAAGGAGGAGGAGCCAGCAGCGCCAGCCGAGCCCGAGGTGAAAGCTGAGACTGCCCCAGAGGTGGAGTCGGCCCCGACACCAGAGCCTGCCGAGACGGAAACCAAGACCTCAGAGGAGGCGGCGCCAGCAGCTGATGAGGCTGAGACCAAGGAGCAGACCAAGGAGGTTGAGGAGGAGGCAGCAGCTCCAGAGAAAGAGGCCAAGGGTGAGGAGGCTGAGCCGGCCCCCGCCGATGACACCGCGGCAGCTGCTGCTGCTGATGATGCCCCAGCAGAGGAACAGGTACTGACATCCTAGAACCAACACCCAAAGGAAATTGGCAAAAGGCCTGATGATTGCAAGGACAAAGTATAAACCTGCTAAAGATATAAGAAAATGGTGCTGAATCCATGAGCCAGACTGCGTACATTTTGAACATGTTTTGAAAAGAAAACAAAAAACACATTGACAGATTATACAAATTCATGGAAAATCAGTCTTTAGGTGACTGCTCTGTTTACCTCAAACTTCCATTTTTTAAACCAAAAACCCAGATTATGGTGCAACAATACTTTCATAACAAGAACCTTCAAGTAATGGCTTAAGAAGTTGTTTGATGATTATTCTTTGGATGGGACCATCACCTTAAAAAAAAGGGAAGTCTTGATTCATTATCCATCACCAAGGTTATACACTATTGTACACAAAGATGTGACCAAAAAAACATGTATGAATTCTCAGAAAAAAAACTAACTTACATGTTATTAAGCAAGGACTGACAAACCCAATCCACATGGTTTACATATTAAGATTTTTAACCAGGGTCATGAGAAGTTGAAGGCAAGGAAAGTGCCGCTGCCACATCCGGACTGCCAGAGAGTTGGTAAACTTGGAAGATTGCATCATCTTGATGCACTGACTTGTATCCAGTCTGCCAATCAACTGCGCTGGCAGTAGACCAATATATGAAAGCTCTGCCCCAGTCCAATGTAGAAATGTTCAATTTATAAGAACATTGAACAAATTTGACTGGAGTGGCATTTGAATCTGCAACCTCTGGAACACCAAACCAGTGCTCTGCCAACTGAGCTCTATCCAGCCCCATGTTTGCAGTCTCCCACAGTCGATATCTTTCTTCATGGGGCACTAGTCAGAAGCCATAAACCTGTAAATGCTATATTAAAGCAATAGAGTTCTAACTCCTCATTCCCCCGCGTAGAATACTTTCATAGGGTCTTGGGAGCAGACGTTTTGAATCAATGTGTGTGATCGTAGCACATTATGGAAATTAGATGAAATTACCATTTCACCGATGAGCTAGCTCTAAATGTAGCGCGAGAGGGCGACTAACGAAGCTGCATGCCACATGCATTAAGGTGCAGTTTCATAAGTTTGAAACACATGTATCTGAAGCAAATACCTGCAAACATGCATGTTGTATGGGCACAGCAGAATGAAAACCTTCATAATATTATTCTAATTGTGTGTTTCAGTTTTGTTCATATCGGCTTCATTTACACATTGGTTTCTAGTACAAATATGCAAATAGCTGTAAAAAAGCCTACAAATTTTTCTATAGGTTTGTACACAAACTTGGATGTGCCCAGGAGGCTACATTGTGTATTAGCTCTACTAATTTAATTAATGAAGCTCTATGTGCCAAAGTCTTGTAACAAATCAGCATTTTTTTTATTAATGTGCCTCTGTCGCTATTACAATCCCTCAGCCAACTTCTGAAGAGCCTGCCGCCGATGAGCCCAGCCCAGCAGCCGAAGAACCAAAGACGGAGGAGTCCACATCTGACCCACCACAGGCAGACGCCGCAGGTGATGCGCCGGCACCCGAGGCTGAAGCAGAGACTAACCATGAAGTGGGACCCGGCGGTGACGAGGTGGCAGCTGAGGAGGAGACTAAGCAGGAGGGGGAAGAGAGTAGTAGCCTGAAGCAAGAGGCGTCTGGTGCCGAGACTAACGGGCCTGAGACTGTGGAGGCGGCAGAATAATATCGGAGGGCAGTTTGTAAGAATAACAAGGTAGATTGTTTGTTAAGTTGGAACATACTTGAGGGTGTTATGCATCTTGTGTGCATGGGTGGTACACTGAAAAATATAAACATTTGATTTTCGCATGCCGCTAAGTTCAATGAGACTGTGTTCTCTTATGGGTTTCAGTGTGCCATGATTGGGCACAGGAAGAAGATTTTGCGTGAACTTGATAATTTGTTGATGAAGCTTTAAGACAAACTTAGCTGTAGAAATTTTACAGAAAGTTCACATTGCACCCTGATATCAGATCACCAGCATTTTGATGAAGAAAATGCAAAATTTCACTAAATTTCAGTTTAAAGGGGTTAAAATTAAAAGAAAGTGCATGAATAAGAGATTTGGGGAAACTTGAGGAGGTTCATAACTTTATTTGCAGAATTGAAACTTGGGACCTTACCAAGGGTTTTAGTAAAAATTGGTTTGTGAAATGAATCGAATACGAAAAAAAAGACACGCATTAACCCTAACCTTCCCAAGTCCTCCAAAATCCTCCAAAATCCTCTCTGCAAAATGGAGGAATTTGCAGGATTGAGGCTATATGGCATAAATGTGTGGCTGATTTTGGAGGATGCACTGTGTCAAGGTCTTTTGCCGGGCCTTGTGTTGTTCAAATGCTCAGCCATGCATAAATTTAGGCCTAGATTATACTTGAAATCCTCTGCACTTCTCCAGGATGTCACTGCCTCTGTCTCCACATATTGACAGTGATTGCTGGAGATTTTGGAGGATTGAGGCAGTGGTCACCCCTCCAAGGACCACATATAAGAAATAACGGAGGATTTTGCAGGATTGAGGCTGTATGCAATTTTACATGGAGGCAGTTGGAGGATTTTGCATGAGGTTGCACCCTAGCAAAAATGCAGGAGTTTGGATTAACCCTAACTCCCTAGCGTCTTTTACTAGGAACTGGACCAAGTCCATCAAAATCCATCAATCACTGTGCGTCCAATACAAAACTGTACATGTACATGACATAATGGAATCCACCACTGACGCACTGGTTGACATTCATGGACTTTCTACAGTATGGCTTTTATCACAATAGCAGTACAGGAAGCTAGGCAAAATCAATTGGATACCCCTAGCAATGCTTCAGGTCATTAGGCCTAAGTCCATCATACTCCATCAATATTTAGTCACGCCAGGCCTTCTGGACCAAGTCCCCCACAATCCACCAAAATGGGGGGCTGGATTTTGATGGAGTAGGGGTGGTTAGGGTTAATAAAACCTGAGAGAATTAAGTAAGGACTGACAATTTGAGCATCCATGGTTCAATGTCTTGGCCCTTACCAGACTACCTGGCATCTAAAGCACTTTTTGTCACTCCTCTTCCACTCCACATCTTTTATATTATAGGACCTTCTAATTGCTCACTCCCATTGTTGTTTTTTCTTTCTGTCTGCAGTTCATTTTCCGAACCAGTGCAAGCACTGTGTGCATCACCCGTGTGTACAAATTTGTAAGCAGAAGTGCACAACCCATCTCCCTTCAAGAATGTTCCAAGAAAGAATGGCGCGACAACAAAAGACTGAACAAGAAAGTTATGGAGCTGTAACCTTATACTGCTGGAAATGGTCTAGTAAATTACTTGTATGTAATTACTGGGCTGGGTTCTTAGTCAGAAAAAAACCCACAGAATACCCTTGATATATACGCTGATTTTTTTGGAGGTACATTTTTGGAGTGCTACCCTCAATACAATGATTTTGGTGAGTGTTCAAAGAACATCGTTTTCAAAATGCTGCCTTGAATGAAATTGACGTTGATTTGTGATTATTATATTATTTCAGTCATAACAATTCTGCTTGGTGGCTCTTTTTAAGAATAAAAGTAAGAATCATGTGGCTCTAAAAATCTGTCATAAAAAATGACACTCAGAAGAGCTTTTTGTCCATGTAAGACACACACAATGTAAGACACACGCAATCTAAGACACACACAGTGCACCCTTTAGCACTTGTATTACATTGTATTACATTGTGTTTACTCCTCCATAAATTCATGAAACCATAGAGTGCTGGGGCGGGATGGTTTAGGGCAATATAAGGGCTAATTGGCATTGTATAAAAGTGAACAGTGCTTAAAACTGTACAGAACTTCATTTGGGCCAGTTTCTACCCCGGGCCCCCCCCCCCCCCCCCCAAAAAAAAACATAAGTAAATGGAGGAGATGGATGATCCAGTATTGAGTGTATATTATAATGCAGTTTGTGAACGATAATAATATTGGCAAAGCTGCCAATTAAGTTCTGTGCTTGATAAACACACGCCCACTTTATAAGCTGGGATAGTGTGCATGTGAATATGAGTGATTCACTATACAGTGCGCCACCAAGTGTTTCCCTCAAAAGTGCCACGTGTCATGGTCGATATCCTGTAGTTATTCATCTGTACTTATTCATCTGTACTGTTGTAAAGCACTACTGAAACACAAAATGCTATGAGCCCTTGTAGAAACACTTTTCTGTTAATATTCACACACAAAAACACTCTTAAATCACATGCGACAAAAGGTACAGAGTACTTTGAAAAAGAAACTTAGTTTGGCGCACAGATGTGGACTTTTCTGTGTTGACTTGTGTGGGCACTGTATTGTGAATTTGTCCTATTTGAGATATCGCGTAGTACTTATAAATATATAAAACTTAGCCGAAGTAGGTCTAGATGGTAGAAAACTGCTTACCATAGAACCTAGTATAAAATGTATTGTAGTCAATCAGTGGAGAAATTGAGATGTTACTTCCATGGCAAGTGGACTTTTTGAGACTTTTTTATAGCATTACTTGGCTGAACTATAATCTTTAATAACTGTAGTAAGAGTGTTGCATATGGCACTGTAGCTTTTCACGTAAAATTGTGATTCCTATTTTTTTGTCACTTGTTTTATCCACAAGTTATCAGTGCCTTCCACAAGTGCGTAAACAATTTTTGCAATGCAATTTTATTTTTACCGAAATTAAACATTAAAAAAAATACAGTACAAAATGGCAAGATGCAGGTGAATTTTTAATTAAGCCGTCCCGATCAAATTTGTACCATTTTGTGGATGCAACTGTTGTGTTTTATAAGAGCTGCATTTGTTAAATAGTTTGATGCAAGTACTGACGTTTAGTCTCTTTATCTAAACATGACTCGGGTTCTTTTTGTATTATGCTTCACAATTTGAAGCAGGATATTTTTTATCTTTTTGGCATAGTCAATCCAAAATAGCTGCAGAATTTAAATCAAAATAAAAGGTGGTGATTTCTGTGGAAGATTTTTTTCACGGCAATTTAAAGGCACTTTTCACTTTGCACATTTTCGCGATGAATTGGCAGTCGTGTTCAATCCAGTATGTAATTGCAGGGTTCCTGGCACTTTATGAAAACAAAAAATTCCCCGAGTTTTCCTTGAACTTTCCAAGAGAAATTAACAAGAATATCCGAGAGAAATAGTTCCACTTAACAAGATTTCTGGGAAGTCAAGAGGTGGTTGTAGCAAAACATATTCATACTTCATAAACACTAAAAAGCCACCCTGGCCAATCAAGGGACACAATTAACTTGGACACATGGCACAAGACACACACGCCAACTTTCCCTTCTGGGTCACTGTCAAATTCCCCGAGTTTTCCCTGATATTTGGTGTGGAAAAATAGAAAGTCGTGAAGTGTGATGTCATTTGAAGCCAGAAGTTACTGGGGTTAACCGGTTTAAACACCAATAACAACTGGACTAAACATATGTGGTTGCAAAAGACCTTGATGAAAAACTGTCAGATTTACAACCATAATGTCCATGCACACATATCTGTCATGAAAACAGAACAGGAATGTTTTTATGGGGTCCACTTGCTGTATCTATATCAGCCATCTTGGGTGAATATGCCAGTAGTTGTGCCACCATGCATTGCGGGGTAGATTTGGCCAGAACAATTTGCATAATGTCTGTTGTGGTATACTTTTCTATTGTATCTATTTTTGGTGGCCATAATCACTGATACCAGCATGGCGAGGTACATCTTTCGTATCACACCTGACCTGAAGAGACAGGACTGCCTGATAGCGGCATTATTTTATCCATTTTTATGCAAATGTATTGAAGTTAAGTGATAATATAGGAATTGACAGTTAATAGTAAATTTACAAATTGGAAATATCTAAATTAGCATCACTGTTATAATGATGACTTTTAGTTTTGAAGTACTCCTATGCACAAGGTATTGTATAAATTATACTCAGTACTGAAGAACAAAAAAAATTGTTTTAATATTAGTAACTTGAGGAGTAATAGCACGAACAAATGTGAAAAAAAGGCAAAATTAAAAGATAAAAATTTACACAGGCAGTAATTTGAGCAACGCTAATAGAGTAATGAAACTATACAACTGATGTCTTGTAATATGTATTAAAAAATGATGTAAAAATTACCCCAATTTTTGAAAATGGCATCATGTAATAGGCAATGTGCTGTATTGGCTCGAGGCAAGAAAAGTAGATGTTGCTATATGGATTACTCATGCCCGTACTTTTGGCATTCTGAAAAAAAAAAAAAATTCTTTTAACTGTGCATGAGGTACACAAACCTGTAGCCTATGGGCTCTGTGCACAAGTACCCCCTCAACGGTAAGAAAGGGAGAGTTGGGGGAGACCACTGGAGCTAGGTATGTATTGCCAAAGACATATGACGCTCACGTGAGGACGCTATGGTTTTGTACACAACATTAGTTGTGATTACTTTGAGCTACACGCGCGCGAACCAATACATGCGCAAACCTGTGTGCGCATGCGATATGTCCCATCAAGGGGCTCTTGAGAGTGGTGAAAGAGCGCCCTCTCTTGTTCACGCACGGAGCCCATAGAGGAGGTGAATGTGTATGTGGCAGCAGCAGTGCCCAAGTTTCCTCCACATTTCAGTTCTCTCTCTTTCTCTGTCATTTCAACCCTTTGTTTAATAATTGGTGTCATTTGTTTAATGTGTTTCCAGGTATTTGAAGTGTTATCACAAGTGCCAAAAATTACCCTACCGGTATTTTCCACACTTGCAAGAATATCTTGAAAAAGGACAATCACCTTTATCTCCTCTTTTATATTTGAGATTTGTGTACAGTTTTATTTACTGATCACTCAACAAATATTTGGGTGATGAGTTTAGTTTTGCTTAAGCCAGTCACTGTACTTAAGATTTTTGTTTTTATGCTGTGGAAATGCAGTTAACCCCTTCCTGCTGGCTATAGCGGACTGGTATGCTGTGGTACGTCGTCTGTGGGTAGCTGCTCAGAAGCTGCTACTGTGCAATCCCGCTTCTGCCACTACTGCACAGAGGCTACTGTGCAGTATGCATACAAGCCTGTGCAGCGAAGTGTAAAAACCCAGGGTTAATTAAAGATCGTCCACGCTAAGGTCATTTCTGGATAGTACTGGTTGTGCTCATTTGCTTTGCAGGAAAAGGGTGTATCTCAGAGAAAGGGTAAATTCAGATAGAAATGATCTCAACTTCTGCCCAGTTAAAAAAAAATTGCCTAATAACTGCCTTTTCCCTGGGCAAACCTAGATATATCCCTTAAACCTGTGAAGCAACTGGGAGCATACATATAAATTGCATTAACGGCTTTATGGAATTGACTTACCGCCGTTTGCGAGTTAGCCACGCCCCTTAGGCTTAGACAACCCTATGGAGTTTTTATACACTAAGTTTTGTTTGTCTCAGATTATGCGCGTTCCACGTCCATTTGTATATCATGTAATTGGACAATATTTCACAAGCTGCGTTGACGCGATTCTAACGCGATTCTACCGCGATAGGTCAATTCCTTTTAATAAGCCTTCTGCCCAGCATTGGACAATTATTAGAGTTTCCAGGTAGCTATCTTTAGGATAGGCTTCTATGGAATCCAATGTGGAATAACATAAAAAAATTAAAAAAAATTGGCAAACCTACAAGTATTTAACAGACCAAAAGAAAGTGTAAAATCTAAGTATTGATAATTATCTTGCCAATTATTTGCTTAATTTTTCTTTGTGATTTGTGTAAAATTGATTTAAATGTTAGCTAATGCAATATTTATTTTGTTGACTTTGAATTTGCATGTGATTCAATTTTTTTTGTTTAATAATGTTTAACATTATTGTAGACAGCTTCGTGGTTTATTTCAAGATTTGTGTACATTTAGTTTTCTGATGATTTTTGTTTTCGAGCAACTTAATTCCAGAATCACTGCTGAATAACCATAGAATTACAGAAAACATGAAATGGAAAAACAAATTTAGATCTGGAACTTTAATGACAAGAAAAGTTTTGTGTTTGCCACAAAGGTTAGAACAGAAATCAGTTGAGATAAGTTGTAAGCTGTATAATGAAGAATGGATGCTACATGTATGTATGTCAATTGCTGAGATCTAATAAATGAAATTGCACACAGACACAGTACATGACCTGGTATACCATGAATGTAAGTAAAAGTCATTAATTTTTTATGTGTGTTTAGTTTTGCTATGAGGTTTCAGTGGAATGGCAGAATGCCGGGGGTTGTATTAGGAATAATAATATCTGCATCTATTAAGGTGTCAGATGACAAATGTTCAACCCAGAGACAAAACACATTGTTGATGTGCCCTCACATGGCGCACTTTGATTTTAAAGGCAGAGCAAAAAGTTTTACCTGAAATTTGTACAGTATGTGAAATTTCATCAGGCTCTAGACATTCACGTTCATAAATCTTGAGTTTACCCACCCGTTACAAAGTTAGCAGAGACATTTTTGGGCATGATTTCCCGAATTTATTTTGAAGTGCACTGTGAACCCTTTAAAAATGCGCCCCAAAATAAGAAAATCATTTTCTGACAAATTTCTAGCTGAGTATGTGAGTAGAGATCTGGTTTAACAGGATTTTTCAATTTTAAAAAAATCTTAAATGTGAACTTGAGATTTTGCGAGATTTGTGTGCGCAACATTAGGGAACACAGCCGATGGATTTGTGCCAAATTTCTGGACGCTACCGTATCTGAATTTTGGACTCGATTTCATGACACTGAAATTGTTCACAAAAAGCTAGCATTATTACATGTATTAAGGTAAAAGGACCAAATTTGGCAACACTGCATGGGGATAGGGGGGGGGGGGGGGGGACATTGAAGTGTGTCACATTAGGGAACACCAATATAACCTCTTGTAATTCCATGCTGCAACTAACTGAGGCCAAGTAACAACAAATACCAGTTGATCGTCCCCGCCCGCTTCCTTTTTTTGAGGCTGCATCATTTTTGTTGGTAATTTTTTTTTTTAATCAACTAATCAACTAGTAGACAACTAGTGCCCACATGGGCGTCGCCGGGATTTTTTCCGGGGGGGGGGCAATTTGTTAACTTTTTCATTATATTCTCAATTTATCATTTTTCCGAGCGTGAGCAGGGGAGCATTTGCCCTACCCCCCCCCCCCCCATCGAATTAACAGCAATTAATATGGCTTCACACCCCTCTTTCCTTTTTTTTTTTTTCTTTTTTGTTTTGTTTTCTGGGGGGGGGGGCAAGTGCCCCCCTTGCCCCCCCCCCCCTCGCGACGCCCATGAGTGCCCAGAAAGTGTCATCAAATGAAAAAGGACCTGCTTTTTTGGCTATTTTAGCTTATTTTTCAATAAAAAAATTTATAAAAAGGCCCTTGTCCTCTTTTTTGACAAAAAAAACCGGAATAGGCCAAAAAAAAAAAGTCTCCAGTTTCTGGTATGGAGCTTGCCCAAAAAGTGGTGCGGCGATGCGGCTTTTTTTTTTTTTTTTTAACCTGATTTTTTTGCTTCAAATGTCGGCTGATGACTGCAAATGGTGCCCGACTAAACTTAGTGCAAATATATGGGAGTCCAGAGAGGCCACATAAAGCTTATTCTCGACCATAACCCAATCTAAAAACACGTTAAAATTGTGCAGCAGCAGGATTCCAGTCAAACCAGTGAGATTGGCGGTTTTGAGACATCATCTTTCATCGAAAAAAAAACTTTTTTCATTTTGCCGACGCGCATGGCTACGGCGACGCGCGCGCATACCAGAAACTGGAGACTTTTTTTTTGTGGCCATATCCACTGGTGTATTTACTTGACCTATTTACAATTTATTACACAGAGAACTGTAAAACTTTCCAGAGATGCTTGTGGATTTTTTAATCCAGATGTCCCCCCCCCCAAAAAAAAACTGCTAGAAGAAATCCCAGCCCAGTTGTTTATCCTACTTTGTATTAATTAGTCAAGTTGGTCATATAGCCTAACATAGCCCGACTGCGTCTGGCCGTACAGTACTATCGCAAGCTCTGTAGTACGGCCAGACGCCCGATGCTTCCACAGAGACTGAATTTTTTTGGCCGCCGATGTAGCGATTTTGCTACATCTTTCGATCGCGATTATCTTTTCATCCAGGACACAAATTTCCAAAGTTAAGGTTCGTAGGCGTAGAGCAACTCATACCTTTTCGAAAAAACGTTCTTTGGTCTCAATATTTTCATCCATCTGGCCACAAGACGAATTTCAGTCATCAGATTCCACAAATATCGTCCCCCATGCGATCCCCCATGCGATTTCAAAATGGCGGCCGCGCTGTAATGTATGCATTATGCGAGCGCGCTTGGGCAAGATAATGAATATGCATCATAGTTTATGACGTTTGCCAGACACTCAGCGCGGCTGGCCATACAAACACGAGGTCATGAACTAAATAATGCATATTCATTATCTTGCCCAAGCGCGCTCGCATAATGCATACATTACAGCGCGGCCGCCATTTTGAAATCGCATGGGGGATCGCATGGGGGACGATATTTGTGGAATCTGATGACTGAAATCCGTCTTGTGGCCAGATGGATGAAAATATTGAGACCAAAGAACGTTTTTTCGAAAAGGTATGAGTTGCTCTACGACTACGAACCTTAACTTTGGAAATTTGTGTCCTGGATGAAAAGATAATCGCGATCGAAAGATGTAGCAAAATCGCTACATCGGCGGCCAAAAAAATTCAGTCTCTGTGGAAGCATCGGGCGTCTGGCCGTACTACAGAGCTTGCGATAGTACTGTACGGCCAGACGCAGTCGGGCTAAGCCTAACACTACAGTAACACAAAGTGACTTCCTGGCTGGTTTCATTGCAAAACATAAAAGTGTATTTTCGTTTTCTTATTTAGAAAGAGGTCCTAGTAGTAATAACTACACTTTTACCCGAGAAAGTTGAGCGAAATAAGCTCCGGCACGCCTCAGGCACGCCCCCACCACGCCCCCTCCCCGCCCCCTCCCTCCAATAAACCTGCTGAGTAGTGAGTAACAAACAAAACACAAGAGGTGGCCCCGCCCCGCAGACCACTACATAAACCAAAGTCTTTGGACTAAAAAAAACACTGTGGAATGGGAAAAGCTCAATATCCTACCTGTATAAGGTTTCTAAATAGCACGGCTCAATTTGTAGACCGCCCTAGCCTTTCTGAGAACATTTCAGGGCTTGATTTATCTGCAGGTTTTCCTTCCCCAACCGGTTTGTTTACAATTTTCTCCTTGCGTTATCACAGAAAATTTACGCGCGGCGTGGTTTAGACCTGTCCCTCAATTTTCAATTGACTTTTCTTGGGGCGGAAACCAGTCTAATCCCAGCAAGCGCAAGCAAGGGGGTGGGGCTAGCGTACGTTGGGGAGGTCCACAGCATCTAAGGGCGAAAGCTGAATTACATCGGAAGGGGAAACGTGAAATACATATACAAATTGTGCATTTTTCTTTACTTTGTGCTTAATACACTAAGTTTAGATACGAAATAAAGTGATATCGATAAAAATTAATAATCAACTTCCATAGACTAGTTCCCAGTCCCTCCATCAGGTCACCGTGCCCATGAAGAGGTCAACTGATATCTTGAGAGAGGGACAACATCAACATGTATCGATACAGTTGGAAATAAGTGATTTCTCCCTAAATTGTCCAGCCAAACTTTCGCAGGTAGGTTCATTGGTATATTTAATGCGTTTAGAAGCTTGCATGTGGATATTTGTTTTGAGAGAAGGAGCAAATCGATCATATTTTGTAAGTGGAAAAAGGCACTTTTTTGCTCTGCATGAAATACGTTTGCTGCTTCATGCCATGATGGCGCCGCCACTTGGTTGTGTACAAAGTCTATCCTATGGAGAGTTCGGCGATCGTGTAGTGGTAGGGTCCAGTTCCTAGTATAAGGGAACAAAATCCACTTTAGAATTATTAGACCGACTAAACTAGTTGGCGACATTCTCAATAAACAGGTATGTCATAGATAGAGAGCAGGGTTTTGATTTTTTTTAGGGAAATTTTGGATGTACGGCGTGGGCACCCACGGCGCGCTGAATCGCATGGCACAAACCGCGCAGGAAAATCGTGATTTCTACCTCAAGAAACTGTTCAAAATTGCAAAATGGGCATCATTAGAATTGAGAAAAGTCTGCTTTTGAGTGTAAAGGTGATTTTTGAGCAATAAAAAACATTTTTTGACTCTAATTTGATCAAAAGAAAACAGGGGCCCTTCACTACACGATTGCCGAGAGTTCAGTGCACTTTCAAAGTATTTTCTAACGGAATCGGAAGAAAGAATGTTACAAACTGACACTGCTTTTTTTTCTTCATATATCATCTTAACAAGCTGATTTACCCGATCATAGATCGGGTAGGGCGTAGTGTTGGGGATGAAAATGTGGGGAGTTAAATGTAAATGGGGGATATAGTTGGGGAGACATGCAGTTATAGAAAAGCAATTTCTGTGGTGTGATCTGCGAGGCAATTTCTGACCACTAAAACCAATTTGAGCAAAAGATCATCTTTTAAAGTTTTGAGTTTTGAGTAATTGAATCAGCTACATGTATTCTGAGCAATAGAATCATTATTGTAGGCTACAATATTTTTATTCGGGGAAGAAAAAGTGTGGGGGGGGGGACCAAACAATGTCCCCCGCCTCAAAATGGGGGGGGGGGGGGTCCCCCTGTCCCCCGTCGATTTACGCACCGTGTACCGTGGCAACTGTCTGTAAATGTTGCCGTTGGTCTGTTAAATTGGCTTTTTGTGAGGCAGTCGCATTTGGAAAACGTAGTGAAAAGGTTACTGTAGTACACAGGCGAAGGCTGATTGTACAGTTTTGACAATAAAGAAATTCGATTAAACTTTTAGTCAAGCTGGTTCAACCATAAGAGCAAGTTTTACTCGGCCTCCTAGAAATGTTTGCTCCTGAAAGGATCCGAGACCGCAGCTTCACGTTCGTGGAAAAATGTGGGTGTCTTCCCGGCCGGGTCGGACACTTTTTCGTCGATTTTTTTGTGACTGCGTTTATAGATCGCGATATTTGAAGCAATGCATCGATCCTTCGTTGACCCCAAACAGGCCCCCGAAATTACAACGCGACACTGAATTATACGTGGCGGGCAGCGAACTCACAACGCTCAGCCTTGGTGGTGGAAGCATGGAGCTGTAAACACATTATGGAAGCAACAACACTCTATCGTGCGATGTCACATGCTTGTGCAATAGCGAGCACCGTAGACCCAACCTCGTTTCCAGGGTGTGGAGCAGGCTGCAGTATGCGTTGCCATCGACGGTTTTACGCATAGCCCGGAAGTACTACGCAGTGTAGACTTTCGATTGGTCAGACCACGGCAAGGCATACTAATGTGTAGTCCTTCTGGGTATTCGTTGCACTCGGCGCAGGGGCAGCAAGCAAAGCACAGGAAAGAATAGGGACACTTGGTGGCCACGCACCATGGAGAAAAAATATTTTGCCAAGGTCACCCCATACTACCGTTTGGTGAACGCTTTTGCTGAACGGCCGAGTAGAACACGTAAATGAAACCCCTACGTCGAAGCCGTTGACCTCGCACAGTCTAGACTCGCAGAAAAGCCAGCACAGGGGGCGGCCAGGCAGTCAACGTGAAAGTGCATACGACGGCAAATTCCTGCGCAAAATGCAGTCACGAAAAATCGACGAAACGGATCGCCGGTCCGTACCGGAAAATTAGGACGACACGAAGTGTCCGACCTGGCGGAAGACACCCTCCGCATTTTCCCACGGACGTGGAGCGATTTTGGCGCCGTGGGAGCCCGCGGTCTCGGATCCTTTCAGGAGCAAACATCGTCTCGGAGGCGAGTAAACTTCTCTCTTATATATATATAGATGAAGGTCAGTCATTGCAAAAATGATGATAAGACATGAATCTGGGACTGAAAAACATTTCCAATTTTGTTACGAAAGTTTGCTTGACTCTCCATAGACTTTGTACACAAACTGCCAAAGTAGCATCAGGTTGCAACCTTCTTTCTAACCTCTGATAATGTCTAGACATGTCGATATATGCAAGTTGCGTGCCAGCCGATCGGAGTCGACTTTACTAAATCGTGACTTCATTTCATTCCTAAATCAGAACTAAATGGTTTGATTGGTCAAATCGAATGCAGTGTTTTGTAACAACAGCCCGGCGCGATATCGCGTAACATGATACAGAGCGTGTGACACCTTTTTTTATCCATTGTATATGACGTTCCACGGGTGAATGACCGAAGACTCGCTGATTGGTCAAATCTAGGAGGTCAAGAGGCGGGGTCTTGCCTTATTAATCAGCGAATCTCTTCACGCATAATGGACTAGTCCTATGACCGATCCTGTGCAAATGTAAACTTGACACTTCGTTGATGCTAAATAAAATAACACGAATTCCTTCCTAGAACAATGACAGGTTTGGGAGTCAGGTTGACGTGGCGGTAGCAGCACAACTACAAGTCACCAGGTCACAAAGGAAAAGCGAAATGAGGATGAACGAGTTGTCTGACTTCTCTTTCATTTTAATAGCAACTGTCTGCCTTGCAGTATGCCAATGACATCCGGCATTACTGGCATGGATAGCATCAGACAGGGCTCTGGAGTGCTCTGAAACGTGCAAAACTAAATCAGCCACACTTTACTCACAGCTTAGCCAGCAAATTTCTCCAAAAAATCCACTGGGACAAAGAAAATGTCCTCAGTATTTCACCAACCAAGTTTGCAGACTCAATTCAATTTTTAAAGGAGACTTTTCTTAGATATTTTGCACATGAGAGGGAAGTCAAGTGATTTCAAAATGGGGCTAAATACTAGACTGGTACATGTCCAACCATGGTCCAACTATTTGAAAAGACTGACCTCTTCATTCAGTGTCAATAGTCTGGTGGCTTGACTATGGAGAAATGTGTTGTAAATTGAGACTAATTCCCGCTTCATGCCACATGTTTTTTAAAATTCTTTTTGCATGGTTGATTGATGCAGTACTGAAGCTGTGTTGGACTGGTTGTTTTAGGTGCCAGTCTAATCTCTTGTTTTGCATGTTTTCAATACCTTAAGTTTTGGGACTCTCATACACAGTATTGAGAGTCCCAAATTTTCAGACTAGGATAGCATATTAAAGCTACAAAACAGTACTCAAAATTTACCTTGTTTGAAGATGACCAGTAATACCCTGTATATGTATTGCCTGTTTTCTATTAAACTTTCCGATGTAATTTCTTTTTACTTCTGAACCAGGACAGTCGTAGTTTTGGGGAGACACTTGCAAGTTTGGCAGCATGGGAAACACCAGCGGAAAGAGAGAAGGGAAGGATTCCGGGGGACCCATGTCACCGACGAAGGAAAACCCAAACGCGTTTGACTTCCATGGCAAGGGTGGAATACTCCAGCAGGCATCTATGGATGATAGCCTGGACCTTCCCCCGGGAACCTTGAAGGTAGGTGCATGTCTGGACAGCATTTCCTGCTGTTAACTCTAACCTTTGTCAACCCGCCAAAATCCTCCAAAAATCCTCCAAAATCGTCCAAGATCCTCCAAGATCCTCCAAGCTCCTCCAAGCTCCTCCAAGCTCCTCCAAGCTTCTCCAAGCTCCTCCAAGCCTCTCCAAGCTCCTCCAAGCTTCTCTAAGCTCCTCCAAGCTCCTCCAAGCTCCTCCAAGCTCCTCCAAGCTCCTTCAAGATCCTCCAAGATCCTCTAAGCTCCTCCAAGCTCCTCTAAGATCCTCCAAGCTCCTTCAAGCTCCTCAAAGCTCCTCCAAGCTCCTCCAAGCTCCTTCAAGATCCTCCAAGATCCGCCACGATCTTCCAAGAGTTTTGGAGGATTTGGGAGGATTGAGGCTGAATGGCAAAAAAAACGTCGGTTGATTTTGGAGGATGCATTGCGTCAAGTTAGTAGGTTGTACCCTACACTGTTTATGTTCAGCCATGCATAATTGAGCCATGCATTATGCTCGATATCATCCGCACAGCTTCTGAATGTCATCAACACTGCCTTTAGAAACCCATTAACAGTGATTGTTCGAGGATTTTGAAGGATTGAGGCAATGGTCACCCCTCCACTGAACCAATTCAAGAAACAACAAATGAATTTGGAGGATTGAGGCCAAATCCAATTTTTACGTTGGGGAATTGGAGGATTGTGCAGGATTGCGGATGTTTTTTTAGCGAAAAGGGCCTAGGGGATTAGGGTTAATAGATGTTGTTTTAACATTTGGTCTGGTAGGATTCAGAGACTTGTTCCATTTGAAAACAGGAGAGATCAAAAGGAATTCAGGAATTCAAACGCAACTGTCGTTTACTTCAGTGGAATGCCGCTATACCGAACACCGCTATACCGAACATTCGGCTATACCGAACATCATCCTTGGCTCCCGGTTTTAATGTACAAAACGTACCGAACATTGTTGCTGAAAAAAGTCAACAGATTAACAAAAAGTCTACCGGTTGTACATGCATTAAACACTATTTGGGCCACTTTTAATTCCCAACATCAAACGACCCATAGATACATCGACCCATAGATACATCGTGTTTGAATGTTGAAGAGTGATAGATGGCTATTATTTCCCCAAGGATTAGAAGGGAAAACCACTCGTGAGAAATGCCAGTTCACTATTGGTCAAAAGAGGGTATCGGCGGTTCAAAATCGCTATACTGAACGATCGATCGTTATTACGAACACTTTCTGTGGATCCAAGGATGTTCGTTATAGCAGCGCTCCACTGTACTGACAAAGACTTCTCATTTCTCCAATTCTAACTGGAATGTATATGCCTTAACCCTAACCGCCCTGAATCCTCCAAAATCCTTTTTGCAAATTGGAGGAATTTGCTGGATTGAGGTTACATGGCCAAAGTGCGTTGCTGATTTTGGAGTACACACTGTGTCAAGGTCTTGGGCCGGACCTTGTGTTGTTTATGCTCAGCCGTGCATAAATTTAGTCCTTGATTATACTTGACATCCTCCGCACTGCTCCAGGATGTCACTGCCTCAGCCTATTGACAGTCATAGCCGGAGGATTTTGCAGGATTCAGGCAGTGGCCACCCCTTCATGGACCATATTCAAGAAACAACAGAGGAATTTGCAGGATTGCGGCTATATGCTATTTTTCCATGAGGCCTATTGGAGGATTGAGGCTACATCCTAGCAAAAAGGCCTAGGGAGTTAGGGTTAATATAAAAACTGAATTTCACTCATCAATTCTTATGGCATTGGTGCTTAACCCTAACAGAACTCGACCCATCAAACCCCAACGGCATGTTTTGTTGGAATCTGTCAGAATGGGTACAGTACCCCTAAACTGACAGTCTTTTACATTGGGTTGGCACACCTCCAGAATCAAAAGTCAGAAATATGTGTGTGCAGATTCCCATATGGTGTTGGAATTTGCCAGGATGGGTATACAGTGTAGTTCCTGGTAAATCGTGCTAGGGAGTTAGGGTTAATTAACTTCAACCATAGCTGAAGCAAATGCATCTACTTTGAGCCATCAAGATTGAAATTTTTTTTAAGCTTCCATATTTGTGAATTCTGCTCGTAGCTGTTCACAGCTTATGTTTGGCCACAATATATTTGGCCAAAAGGCAAGACTAGTCATAAGGGCTGCTTTCTCTACAACACTGTAATTTTGTTTTACAAAAACAAGTGAGCAATACTCCCTAAAGCGTTGGCAATACCATATTATGTTATGCGCACAGGAAATGCTGAATCGACAGGGGGAGATACCAGATCAGAGGATGAGAGTGAAAATGATGGAGTCGCCGGGCATGGAGAGCAAGCACACGCCGGTCGTCTTCAAGTGGGAGGGAGGTGGTAAAAATGTCTTCATATCGGGCTCCTTCAATCATTGGGCGTCTAAAATACCGCTCAATAAAAGGTACGACCGGAGATTTCCAAAAATTGGTAGTTTGAAAGTTTCACAAATCTATTAAAACCTGGCCCCTATGTGACAGCACTCACAACTTCCATTTAATGGAACCCAGCAGCTGTGCAGATAGCACACTAACTTGCTGAAAATAATACAGGGTGAGTAAAAAAAAAAAAAAACCCAAATGTCGGGACCATTGTTTTAGTGAACTTCTGCATGTAGCACTTTCAAAATCTAGGATATGAAAGCCCGATTCATAAGCTTTCTTTTGGTACAAGAATCATTCAAATCACTTACGTACTTACACAACCAACATTTTAAAGTTCTGTCCACGGATCACAAAAAAAACAATTCACGCACATCCTTATGTGATTTGTTTTCGTTTTGCTGAAAGAACACTTAATTTTTTTGTGATCTGTGGACAGAACTTTAAAACAGTGGTTGTGTTTAAAACTCCGTAACTCCGTCTTGCGCCCGTCCCACTGCGCGTTCATGCGCCTTCGATGAGCGTTCAGTTATCCTAAATGACCCCTGACCCATATCATTATGCGCATGCACAGTTGAAATACCAAACTGTTTTCTTACTGTTTTCTTACTGTTTTCCTTACTGAGCTAAACATTCAGTGATTCCTAACAAACGTTCTACTCCTTTATTTACAGCCAAGGTGATTTTACCACCATTCTTGATCTACCAGAGGGTGAATACCAGTACAAGTACTTCGTCGACGGCCAGTGGCAACATAACCCTAAACAGGTCAGGCAATAGCTCCCTCGGTAGTTTTCCCAGGAACATATCTGAATCGGTCAAAATGTCACACTCTTTGCACTTTGCACTTTCAGGGGCCCCGAGCCCTATGTAAAGCAATAGTGGTGAACTCGGCTTTCATCAACCCTGCAATTTCCTCTATAAGGCCAAAAAAAAAAATTGGCGGTCTCTGGTCAGCGCGCGCGTCGATTTTAATCATCATTTTTAATCAGAGCATACTGACCGGAACGTCGAGTTTATACCTCTGGTTCTTTTCAGAACCATTCTCTTAGTTGAGAAATTATTCGCACATGGTGTTTCCGCAAACCTTTCATTATTTAGTATCTTCACCATGCAAAGCCTCAAATCTTACTGATTTTAATCATGCGCGTCAACCTTTTTTTTTCTCTTCAAATTGTCCACGGTAGCTACAACAGCGCCCTCTATTGCCGCACCTCCTCAGATTTTTGTACCAAGGAATGGGGAAATTGCACCAAAGCAAATGATGGAGGGCACAAAGGCAAATTATGGAGGACACCAATGTATATGAGAACACACAAAAAGCAAAAAATAGTACCCACCTTGTCTGTATCCAAGCTTGAAAAAAGAAAAGCAAAAAAAAAAAAAAACCTGAGTCGCCGCATCAATTCTGGAACTTTGGTCTGACCAGAGACCGACTATTTTTTTTTTGCCTAATAAACGCACGGGTAGTACGGGAACCAGGTACCCGATTGAAAAAACCCAAAAACCTTGGTACCCGTTAAGGAAACCCAACTCCACAATTAAAATCTGGGAAGTTGCTGTTCAGATTGTTCATCAAGGTCCGCACGATAGTATTACCACATCGGTGCGCAATACAGCAAGATACAATTATGTACAGTGAGCTTTATAGCTTTACAGTGTAAACTGCAACTCTCTCGCATATTATGTTTTCCCATGTAGCCTGATGTTCATTTTAAAATTCCCCATAAATGACATTCAAAATCTTTCTTTTTCATTGTCTCGAAGAAATCAATAAGACAATCTGCAAAGTTGGTTACAGGTACCAACGTGTTCTATGCGCAGAAGCGGCATATCACGCGTGTAGACAAACCTTGCCGTACATTTTGTACACAAGCTCAGATGAGTCGTGTCTCCCTGTGTAGTGGATCTGTGATTTGATTCAGTAATAGGACTTGAAACGAACTATCACACTCAACTAATGAGTCAAGAAGCCATTTCAACCGGAAATCATAGAAAACAGCTTTATTTGTACTGTTACAAGTCAACTATTGATTTCCTAATGTGACAGATTTCAATCCTCTCAAGACTATTTTTATTTTTTTATTTTTTTCGTCCAGCCTACCAAAAATAACGAATTTGGTGCCACCAACAATGTTCTCTCAGTGAACAAAACAGACTTTGAGGTCTTTGAAGCGCTAGCAATAGATTCGTCAACGAGTGGCACGAAGCACAGAAGTAAGTGCACAATTTGAATGTTACCTTTGAGTAAATGGTTTGGGTTCTCCACAACTACACTCGACCCAAAAAAATGCCCCTCCCCCTTCCAATACTTTTTTGTCTAACTCAAAAACTACTGAGTACCTCTCACTCAAATAATGACTAATCAGTACAGAAATTTGTTAGCAATCCGACTATTTATATGGCCAAAACAGTGATAATGTGTACGAATTTATGCAACTTATGACAAATGATACAGAAAACAGTTACACTTTTGTACACGTGCAAGTTGTGGTTCACGCTCACCTTGCACGTATACAACAGTGCACTTTTTTTCTGTTACCTTTTGTCATAAATTGCATAATTTTGTACACATTATCACAGTTTTGGGCCAAACTAAGAGTATGGCTGGATTGCTAAGGAATTTCTGTACTGATCAGTCGTAATTTGAGCAAGATGTGCCCAGTAGTGTTTGAGTTTGACAAAAAAGTGTATTAAGGGGGGACTTTCTTTTTTGGTTGAGTGAAGTATTGAGTGCGCTATGAACTGTCTTGCTGTGTTTTTGGTGCTTAAGAATTAACCTTGAATGCATTTTGACTTACCTTGTAGTTTCCCAACCAAACTCCCCCCTCTCAACTACACCCCCACCCCGCTCACCCCCAAGCATCTTTTAAATCTTCTTGCAATCAAGCTATCAGCATGGTTTACTTACTGATAACCTCAATGAAGTTGTTCAGAACCCTGCCCTTAATACCCGATACAATGAGCAGATAAACTTGTTTACAACTTATTCAGGATATTTAAAGGAAATGTACATTTGCTTTTGCTGCAGTTTTCAGATATGAATGGATTTGGAGGATTAGTATGTTATAGCAAATATTGTTAAGCTGACTTGTTTCACATTTTGGGCTTGTAGATGCTGGAAAAACCAAGAAAACCAATCATGTTATTGTAGTCTGGTTCCCTGATCCCACTTAAGATTAACAGAGCAATAATAAATAGAATTTGGGGAATTGTATAAGGTTAAAGAATCAGTCTAGCAGGCTTGTACCCTATGACATAGGTGTGTAATCAATTGCAAAGAAAATGCGGAATTATAACGAATAACTAAATATTAAAACTAAGAGCATGCAGTTTTTGACAAAAAGCCAGGTTTTTCCAACGCTGGTCGGCCGACCATTGTTGGAAAAATACAGCTTTTCTTGAAAATGTCAGCACACCAGGAGCCACGATTTTACAGGATGCTTTAGACTGTCATTCCTTAAGGTATCAGTAAGGCATTTCATGATAATTTGATCGTTTCGTTTTTTGATGTTTGCAAATGTTGTATCTTCCCTTTAAAGGTAATATACAAAATGTTCATTTACTGGAATTTTCAGAAATGAATAAATTTTTGGATTAGTATTTTATAGCAAATTCACACAGTCCTGTTCCATAGTTGTGGGGACATACACTCGTCTCTAGAGGTATTTGTGGGGACTGAAAACCCTGTGGGGACAGCAGAAAGTCCCCATAACTTGGTCCTAATTGGCCTCACAATATTAAACTTCCCCATAACGGGGTGTAGGCCAGGGCTGTTACACCGACCTGAGTAAAGTTTTGTGTTCATAAATGCTGGAAAAACCAAGTAAATAAATAAAAGCTGTTCTTGTAGTCTGGTTTCTGACCTTAATTCAGACTAAACAGCAATTTATAGGCGTCAGGGAATTGTCGGGTCAGGGAACTAGACTTGCTGGCTTGCACCCCTTCACGGATGTGTAACCAATTGCAAACAAAATGTTGACAAACTGAATTTGGTAAATTGGAGGCAGTATTTGAAAAAGGTGTTTTTTGCAATGATGGTCGGCTGACCATCGTTTAAAAAAAATCCACTTTTCTTGAAAATGACAGCATACAAGGGGTCGGAATTTCACAGAATGCTTGAAACTATTATTATACTTGCAGTCAAGTATTAGTAAGATATTTCGTAATAATTTGGGTTTTGGGTTTTTGTTGTTGATGTTTTCAAATGTTGCATATTATCTTTAATAAGATGACTTCAAAAGGGTTGACCACAACCTGGAAGTACCAAGCTGAGGTCTAGATTTTATATTTGTCCTTTGGTTTGGTTTTGCCCTAGACTTGTCAGGTTCGCCGCCGGGCAAGTACGCTCAGGAGATTCCGACCAGAGAGATGCAGACTAGCAGTGGGGGCCCGCCATTCTTACCACCTCACTTACTCAATGTCTTACTTAACAAAGATGTTGGTGCACAGGTAAGGACCACACCTCTGATAGTAGGCATTTGAGAATCAGATTGACCCTTCGCATCAGCAGTCTTGTATATTTGAAACAGTTAAAATTTTTGATTTTTAAACAAATTTTCAAATGACGCTAAGGAGCACCAGAATGGTGTTGATTTTATGCATGGTGTCCTTCAATGACAAAAATTCTTCAATTTTAATCCTTAACCCTCCTGCTATTTAAGCAGTCACAGACAGTCAAAATTCACTTCCACCTCCCCTGCTATACTTTTAACAAAGGCTAGTCACCGGCAGTCAGATCATATGCCAAGCAAGCACTCTGACTAGTCGAACTGGGTCAGCAGACAAAGCAGGCAAGTTGTGGTCACAGCTGTTTTGCCACTCACCCAGAGTCAAAGCATAGCTGTATCAAGTAACTTAATCAGTCCCAGCCAGTCAGTTGTGCTTTATGTGGACTGGGAATTCTTACGGGTAGAAAACAGTCACTTGTTTGATTTTGACTGCATTAGGACAACTTGACACAGAGTGTATGTTTGCATAGGAGGGTTAATGTCACAAAACTTTTATCTTAAGAGAAAGATTTGATAATTTTGATACGTATCGACTTTAAAGCAACCAATACATTTGATTTAAATAGAAATTGAAATGAAATGTGTAAAAAAATATAGCATTTGTGGCTTTTTACACATGAAGACAATGAATTGTGTTCTGTTTATATTTCAGTATGAGCCTACGCTGCTACCCGAACCGAACCATGTGATGTTGAATCATCTCTACGCATTGTCAATAAAGGTATAGATGCTGCCTTTGTTTCCTTTGTCACTGCCTAACTATGAAACTCTGAAAATATGATTTTGTTGGTTTAAAAGTCCCAAGACTTCTTCCATCAGCCACCGCACTTTGCCTGGGATTTCTCACGTTAAAAGTATTTCTGAGCTTTTGAAAAAAAAGTGGCTACATGTAACCAACAAGCTGGTTGAGTAATGAGACATTTGCATTAGTCGGAGGTTCGAGTCACTCTCGATTAGACTTGTAAAGTTGGTTTCTCAGATGGGCATCCCTTTTTTATTTCTATGGTTCTCATATTTTTTTTGCTTCTGAAGTAGGAAGTAGGGTCGGTCACTTGGCAAAAAGGAAAAATCTGAAGAAAATTCAGAACAAGTTTCATCCAAGTTCGTCTTAAGGTCACGTGATCCACAAGGTCAAATTCAAGGTCAAAGAAAAGGTCAAAGGGTTATACTTGAAAATATAAATAAAAATAGTGGTAGATTCCTTATGATGATACATTTCCAAAGCAACCAAGATCAAGAAAAAAAAAAAATTTGGTCGACAGGTTATGGAGATGTGGTCATGTGAAAATTGGCGGCCACGCCCATTTTGGCCAAAATCACAATGGCGGGCGGTAGCACAAAAACCATTGGTCCAATGGCGCTAAAACTTTAATTTTTTTCCAGACAAAATTTCCCCAGTCGTTAAATATGAATCAATTTGAGGGGGTTATTTGACCCAGAATGACCCCTATACTCAACTTTTTCATCGCAACTGGAGCCTCGATTTATTGTGAAACGAGGGACCAGAAATTTCCCATTTCATGAAATAAGAGACATTTCCTCTGCTGCACCCATCATGTATTGCTAGTAATTCCTTTCTTATTCTCCAAATGTTAAGTATCATTTTACATGTATGATTTCTTCGCAGGATGGTGTCATGGTACTCAGTGCTACGCATCGCTACAGAAAGAAATATGTCACCACACTGCTGTACAAGCCCATATAGGTTTGGCTACATATGTATATTATTTATCTAGAATTCAATAATGGTAGAGTATGGTCATAACAGTATTTGGCACTGGATACTTCCAAAACACGGTTCAGACTATTTCAAGCTTGGCCTGTTGGGGCGATTGAGTGAGTATGCTGGTCGTGAGACTGTCCACACATTCTTGTTCCGTAACTGGGACTACACACGTGTTGTCCCATGGTACTATGGGGACCGAAGACGCTGTGGGGACAGCAGAAAGTCCCCATAACTCGGTCCTAATTTCCCTAACAATAAAAAACGCCCCCATATTGCGGTGACGGCCTGCCTACGTACTGAGATTCTTGCATTTAACCTCTCAGGCTTTTAAGTTTCCCTACTTTTCCTACTTTTTCCTATTTTCTTTTTTACCTGCCTGTACTTTTCCTACATTATTTTATTGAAATTTGTTGTTTTGAATATCCAGTCTCCAAAATCGAAACCGAAGAGTGGAATTCAAACCAAATGTTAAAGAATGTTTGAAATCCCACCACTATTTCCCCCTCAGCAGTCAGAACAGTTGGAAGATATGTAACATAAATGTACAAATGTGTATGAAGTTTTGAACATAGACTCAGCAGCAGATAACTGAATAGAGACTTTGGGACTGATGAAAAAACTTCCCCAGTAATCACAGGCGTTAATTCAATAAAGATTAAGTGTTTTTGAGTAAAGTATGGAGTGCCGAAGTGAATACGTCACGCGCACAAAATGTGTGTAAAAGACATTAGCGCGTGATTCCGCCCACGAACCAACACGCGCGTGTACTCCATTTGTTTGCACTGCACTCTCTGGTTCTAAATGACGTCAGACTTCGGTACTCCATTGTAGTATAGACTATTATTTTAGTATTTTAGCATGTTATTGCTCTTCCATAGCCACACGCAAATAAGTAGTTAATAAAAAGTACAAAAAAAAGATCAGGTCTGATCATGATAACTGTAAATAGTTCAATCTGAAATGTGCTGATTTTTCATTACGTTTAATATTAGTGAACAAATTGTTGTTTTTTTAATTCATCGTCGCATGATTACGCACACAAGTTAATTTTAGCCTTTTATTGCCATTTCGCAGGATATCTTATCATTACTGACTAACCCACAGGAGTTTGTGGCGGTTGTGTGTTCTCTTATTTACCGATTTTCTATTGCATCATCAAATTGAGTACGCTCGTCCAATCTCAATCATACCTAAGCCGGTTTGACCTGTTTTTGACCTGTTTTTGACCTGTTTTTGACCTGTTTTTGACCTGTTTTTGACCTGTTTTTGACCTGTTTTTGACCTGTTTTTGACCTGTTTTTGACCTGTTTTTGACCTGTTTTTGACCTGTTTTTGACCTGTTTTTGACCTGTTTTTGACCTGTTTTTGACCATTCCCGTGGACTCCATGTAAACCACTGTATGCCAGATGCCCATGCAAAGATGCAACCGGTTTGTGCGTATTTGGATAAAACTAAGTCATGCCCTTGCACAATACTCATACAAATTTACCCGTGCGTATAGTGCGTCTTGCACAATGGAGCTCTCTAGAATTTGACAGAAACCAGACTTTTTTTTTTCTCAAAACTTTTTCTTATTTATGGTTTTTATCATCAGTAGTGGTTTTGACAGGAGCATGTGATTGTGCACACTCATAGGTTACCGTACAGTTTTAAAGGCATACAGCATGCAGTACTCTTGAACGAGAACATTGCGGAAATAATACTAGGACATGAGCATCTTTTTTTTAAATCCTTTTTTTTTTATTCCTGTGACTGCTTTAAATACCAAAATCTATGGAAGACACTTAAAGGGAATATACAACATTTGCAAAAATCGGAAAACAAAACTTTACGAAATACCTTACTGGGATGTTGGTAAATGACAGTCTAAAGCATCCTGTAAAATTATGGCACCTGGTGTGAAGTCATTTTCAAGAAAAGTGGTATTTTTGTATAAATTTCCAACGGTGGTCGGTCGACCACCGTTGGAAAAACCCAACTATTTTTCAACTACTGCTCCAAATTTACCATTTTTTTAAGTCCAAGTTTTGTTTGCTATTGGTTACATGTTCATAAACGGGTGCCGGCCAGCTAGACTGGTTCCCTTACCTTACAATTTTCCGGCATCTATACATTGATTTATTTCATCTTTAGTGGAGTCAGGGAAGCAGACTACTTGAAGATTTTTTGTTTTCATGGTTTTTCCAGTATTTTCTAACACAAAACTTCAAACATGTCGGTGTAACAATATTTGATCTATTATACTAACCCCTCAAATAGTTCATTTCTGAAAATTACAGCAAAAGCCAATGATGTACATTCCCTTTAACTTGAAGCTGATGTAGTAAAGCATTGGTCATCAGTGTCATTTATGTACATGACACCTTTATGCTCTGTCCATATATTCATCAGCAAAATGCCGTATCACTTGTTTTCGGAACCTTTTATGTTGTTAATCGACACCACAAATAGACACTAACAAAAACAAACTGTAATAATTTCACTTCATCTGTTTGAGGCACAAAAGCCCATTGTCAACCGCATTTTGTTTGCACCAAGTTCGCAATACGCAGTATAATAAAAGAATTGATATAAAGATGGAGTTATTACAGGTATTGAAAAAGTGCCAAATTTATAATTCTTTTTTTTTTTTTAAGAAAGCAAGAATGATTTCTCTTATGAAGAGATTTTACCTGAATGGGAGTTGTAAGCTTTTCAATATTTGTTGTTGAAAGAATTTGTGAATGATATAAGCTACATTTCTTTGACATATTTCTCTAGCAGTGTGAAGGAGATTATTTTTTTTAGGAAAAGGCCTTGCTGATAGTGTATTGCACTGCAGTAGTATGTCTGTACAAGAAATAATTTTGAAATACATGTACATGTACCTTGAACCATTCTACAGGTTTCCCAACAACATGTTTTAATGGTGAACCAGCAAGTACTGAATATTTTACATGTGGAGTAGATGTGTACAACTATAAATTGGCACAGCATCATAGCCAATTTGATAACAGATGCAAAGTCTAAAACATGTTCATTTCATAAAGCTATTGTATGATTTGAAGACTTCAGTTGGCCACCAAAAGCTCTTATTTGTTAGGATAACTTTTTTTCACACAAAAAATGGCAAGGATGATTCTCTTTTTCAATTTTCGACTTGACTTGAGCCCCATTTGCAGATACGTCTGAGAAGCAACTATATTTCTGTATAGAAATTATGTGGGAAAGACCCATTGATAAAAATGCATTTTTATCACTTGTGCATTAATGCTGTATGACCAATATCCTTTTCTCTGCCTCAGAAATCCGGTTTTGTCATGGGATTGGCTAAATGTAACGCAATGTGGAAAATCATTTCTAAGGTGGATAAATATTGTGTGGGAAGGTGGAAAGAGCTATGTATACTATTATTTTTGTTTTATTTTGATTACATATATTATACCTGATGTAATCCAAACTTTCCTTGCGTTTTTCTGCTCACCTTTTGAAGGTAGATTTTTGTAATGAATGCTCTAGCATCTTTATTCACTATTTAGTTTAACTTACTTGGCTACAAATTCCTTTTTCTTTGTTTTGGCAATAAAGCTAGGTGTAAATTCTGAATGATAATTCCGTGTACTCATTCACTTTTCTTTGTTAGAATAGTCAGTATATGCAAAGAGGATATGACATCACTTTGATGGAGCCTTGAAACTAAGTATATTAGAGACAAAGAGCTAGGAAAGAATGTTGCATCCAAACGCCACTTTTTTTCACCACATTATCTCAGTGAGGGTCAGTCATCTCACAAATGTGGAAAAGACAAAATTGGGCAATATTTGACTTTTCTTGAATATTTAAAATTGTAAGGGGTTGACCTTGCATTTTCATCAAAATTGGGCAAAATTTAATTCTGGGAAATTTAACATTGTAAGAGGGTAACCTTGCATTTTATCAAAATTGGGCAAATTTGACTTTTCTTGAACATTTAAAATTGTAAAGGGTTAACCTTGCATTTTCATCAAAATTGGTCAATATATGACTTTTCTTGGAAATTTAAAATTGTAAGGGGTTAACCTTGCATTTTCATCAAAATTTGGCAAAATTTGATTTTTCTTGGAAATTTAACATTGTAAGGGGTTAACCTTGCATTTTCTTTAAAATTAGGCAAAATTTCAGTTTGATTGGAAAATTTAAATAGTAAAGGGTTAACCTTGCATTTTCATCAAAATTGGACTAAATTTGATTTTTCTGGGAAATTTAACATTGTAAGTGGTTAACCTTGCATTTCCATCAAAATTGGGACAAATGTGAGTTTTATTGGAAAATTTAAATAGGGGTTAACCTTGCATTTTCATCCAAATTTTGTGAGAAATAAATTAACATTTTTGACTGATTTTACCCCATATTTTCGTCCATTTTTTTTTTGAAAAGCAAATCTTTCTACAAATGGAGTTGGAATGTGTTCTAGGGTCCCTAAGGCATCTTTCTAGCAAGTTATAAGAAATTTCGTTTGAAACAAATTTAAGGGGTTAGGCCAAAAAAAAAAGTCTCCGGTTTCTGGTATGGAGCTTGCCCCAAAAGTGGTGCGTCGACGCGGCTTTTTTTTTTTTTTTACCTGTTTTTTTATTTTTTTGGCTTCAAATGTCGGCTGATGACTGCAAATGGTGCCCGACTAAACTTAGTGCAAATATATGGGAGTCCAGAGAGGCCACACAAAGCTTATTCTCGATCATAACCCCATCTAAAAACTGTTAAAATTGTGCAGCAGCAGGATTCCAGTCAAACCAGTGAGTTTGGCGGTTTTGAGACCGCATCTTGTATTGAAAAAAAAACTTTTTCATTTTGCCGACGAGCACGGCTGCGGCGACGCGCGCGCATACCAGAAACCGGAGACTTTTTTTTTTTGGCCTTAGCCTTACTTTTTTACTCAAATTTCGCAAAAAAATTTTACTTTTCTCCAAACAATGCAGAAAATCCTTTCGAAGTCAGAGGAGCACCAATCAATACTCAATATTTGGAAGATTTGACCAAAAACATTCATTTTGTGAGAAATAAATTATAATTTTTCACTGATTTTACCCCATATTTTCGTCCATATTTTCTTTTGGAAGGGCAAATCTTTCTACAAATGGAGTTGGAATGTGTTCTAGGGTCCCTAGGACATCTTTCTAGCAAGTTACAAGAAATTTCGTTTTTTGGTGAAAATTGAAAAAAATGCAATGGGTTAGCCTTACTTTTTTATCTAAATTTGGCCAAAAATTGACTTTTCTCCAAACAATGCAGAACTTCCTTTCGATGTCAAAGGAGCACCAATCAATACTCAAACACCCAATATTGGGGAAGATTTGGGCAAAAACCATCGATTTTGTGAGAACTAAAATATCATTTTTGACTGATTTTACCCCATATTTTCGTCCATATTTTCTTTTGAAAAGCAAATCTTTCTACAAATGGAGTTGGAATGTGTTCTAGGGTCCCTAAGGTATCTTTCTAGCAAGTTACAAGAAATTTCGGGTTTTTTGGTGAAAATTGAAAAAAATGCAAGGGGGTTAGCCTTACTTTTTTACTCAAATTTCGCCAAATCATTAACTTTTCTCCAAACAATGCAGAAAACCCTTTCGAAGTCAGAGGAGCACCAATCAATACTCAAACACCCAATATTTGGAAGATTTGTGCAAAAACCATCGATTTTGTGAGAAAAAAATTAACATTTTTGACTGATTTTACCACATATTTTCGTCCATATTTTCTTTTGAAAAGCAAATCTTTCTACAAATGGAGTTGGAATGTGTTCTAGGGTCCTTAAGGCATCTTTCTAGCAAGTTACAAGAAATTTCGTTTTTTGGTGAAAATTGAAAAAAATGCAAGGGGTTTGCCTTACTATTTTATCAAAATTTCGCCAAAAAATGACTTTTCTTCAAACAATTGAGAAAATCCTTTCGAAG